AACACTAATTATAAATGTAATATTTCGTCTTGTAGATGTAACTAAATATAAAAGTATTCCAATTATAATGAAGTATGGATATTGATCTTCCAATATTTTTTCATCCTTCTTGCTTAGATAGTATGGATCATGACCATTACAATCATGTCCAATCATTGGTATTAATAATGAATAAGTATCCATCATATTGAATCTCTACAAGATTTATTTAATATACATTAGTTGGTAGAAAAAATTGCTACCATTTGTGAGATGCATAATTTGAAGACCAATACAGAAAGTTATTTTTCTAAGCATTTTCATCTCAAATTCATAGATAAATAGATTAGTAGCTACAATGCATGCAAATTTAGTATATACAAGATTAAAATCATCAACATATACAACAATGATCACAAAACCAATTTTATCTCATTTAATAAACAAACAAGGGATTAGAGAATCACTTACAAACTTATTTGTAATTAAATAATCTTTGAAACGTTGATACTACATGCATCCAGATTGTTTTAGATCATATAGGGCCTTGTATAATTTAATAGCACAATATTATCCTAGAGCAAGTGCATTTGGAGTTCTTGTTGTCAAATCAAGTGGAACTTTCATATAAATATGTGTGTTAAGAAAATTATATAAATATGTAGTTAGTATATCCATGAGATGCATCTCAAAGGTGGCATTAACTTCTATTTTAATAATATATTGAAATATAATTGAATCCATAATTAGAAAATATATAGATTCATAATCAATGCTAAACTATTAGATAAATCTTGGACAACAAGATGAGCTTTATAGTGGATTATTTGACTCTTAGCATCTTACTTATATACTAATACTATCTTATATCCTATAGAGCAAGAAATAAGAGTGTCCACAATTGGACCAAAGACTTTCTTCTTATGCAAAGAAGCATATTTTTCCTTGATAGGAGTTTTTTATTTTAACCAATCAGAGTGATGCATTGCTTCTTAGATGGTTTAAGTTTCAGGATCCACTTTCTTGTAAAAAAAAAGCTTCTGCAATCATGAATGCAAATGATTCATTTATTATAATAGATGGTCTATCTCAAATGTTATTTGTAACATAATATAGAATACATAATTCTATACTCAATTTGGTTTTATTCTTCTTAATTTCAAGATTTTTTATTATATAAAGTGAATGTATAATTTATATGGACATATCATCATTAATTAATGGTTCTAAAGATCTAGTAGGAACTTTCATAAAAATAATATCTAAATCACCACATATTATAGTCTTCTTTCATGGTTGCTAATCTGGTCCACAAATCCATTTAGTTTTTGATGTTTTAACTTGAGGTATATTACTTAGTGATATTGTAATTTGATGAAGTTCATTTTGAGCTTCATTAATTAGAAGTCTTGTAATCCAAAGAATATCATTGAAGCTATGAAGTCTTCCATTTGCAATCCATTTTAGATACAAAATTTTTGCAACTTCAATTTCAGCCAAAGATGTTTTAGGATCAAGATTCATTGTAAATGTTTCTTGTACTCCAAATATAAGTATTGTATTTCTTTGTTGATTAAATACTCTTTTTCAAAGAAATAAGAATAAATTCTCTTCAAAATGATAATTTTAAAAATATGCATGTAATAATATGCTTATTGATCGATCAATAATACAAATAATGTTTGATGAATCAAAACCAATATATATGGCCTCTTATCGATGAATTCCAATTATTTGTCATTGAGGTTTTGGTATTGAAACCCAAGCACAAAAACCAAACATCCATACATAAGATACATTTGGAATACAACCTAAAATGAGTTCTTATAGTGTAATAATTTCAAAAAAATAAAGAGAGAGGTATATTAATAGTGCAGCATGCAAAATTGCATGAACCTACATAGATGCAGGTAAATTTGCGTAAAGAAGGAGTGGCCAGGTAATGAGTTGTATATGCTTTATAAATGAAATTGCAAGTCTATTTTTAGTATATTTATATAGAACACAATATATCAATTTAATCCTTATTGCAGTATAATAGTCTTTAAAAGACTTTAATATGAATTCTTTTGCATTGTCCATACACAACGTTTTGATAGGATAATCAAGAAAATATGCTTGAAAATAAATAAGAATAGATATAAGATTGGAAATTACTATATTTTAGATTGATAATAATGAAACATGTGATTGTTTGCCTGATGCATCAATAAGGACCAAAAAATAACAAAATGGTCTTGATATTGAATTAATAGGACTACAAATATCACCATGCAACTTCTCAAGCATTGGTGGTAACTCTCATGGGAGTTTCCAAATTGAAGGCCGAACAATCATCTTACCTTGCATATATGCACAACATAATTCTATAGAATATGTATTTGCAGGTCTTAAATTATGTCTATATATATATATATATATATATATATATATATAGAATTATCTTCCAAAAGAATGTAGATTCTAGATGTTCCAATTGTCTATACCAAAGAAAAACAAGACTCTTTGTGATAGATGATGTAAAATTAAATATAATAAGAGGCTAGATTGCAATCCAATATAAACCATTTTTTATAGCAAAGAATTTTTCTACAACTTTATGGTTTTGTACAAGAACCAAAACCTCCCACCTATCTAGAATTGCAGTTGAGAAGTAATAACTATTGGCATGCATATCTTGGTAGCTAATTAGATTCCGATGTGCTGAGGGTACAAACATTGCATGTTTATATTTTATGATGGATCTCGTAGGCAATTTTACCATTGTTGTTCCCTCTTCAGCCATAGTCATTAAATTTCTAGTTTGCTAAATTGAAGATTTTTTAGTAAAAAATCGTCTATCTTGCAGAATAATATGTATTGTTGTAGAATCAATGAGTGCATTATTTGACTCATCATAAGAGGTTTTATCATTTATATAAACCTCTAAATCATCAACACCAATTGAGTCTATGGATGCATCTATGGTATGAACTTCATGAGCCTTAGCTTCAAGTTTCTTATTTTTTTGGAACATTTTAACAAAGTATTTTGAAATACAGCATATATGTGTCAAATATCCAATCATTCCATATTTATGGCAAGAATGCATCTTTGATTTTTATTTTCTACTATAATTAATTACAAAACATTTATTCTTTTTATATAGGTAGAAATAGTCACGATCATGACTAATTTGGTGCTTATGAGTATTTTTTTTATTTTTGTATAATTTTTTCTTAAACTTTGAAATATTAAGTGCATGAGATTGTAGAATCGTGGTTCCAATTGCATGAGCTTCTCCATTATGCAAGAATAGCTTGTTTTATTTTTCTGCAAGAGGTAGATAGGACATGTGATCAGAATGACTTTGAAATTTCATATTCTTATATTGTTGTACAAGCACAGCAAATGCGGGAGGAAATGTAGAGAGAATTTTTTCAACCATTTCTTTTTTAGAGATGCTTTGTCTATATAATTGTTGTTGTGAAACAATACAATACATTTTACTGTTGAAAGCATTTAAATTTGGAAAATCCAAGATACATAAATGTGTCCAATTATGATGTGCATGTGAAAGGAAAATAGTCTTTTCATGACCAAACGTGGATTTAAGATTCTCCCAAAGCTTGGGACGATCTTCCATCTACAAATCATATTGATGTTGCAATGCGGGTACAAGATGATGATAAAAGAGAAGAAGTGCTTTCCAATAGATATCAAGAGGAATTGAAGTACTTACAATAGGAAATTCTTCAAATAGAATTGCATCCGAGAGTTGTTATGAAAATTAATTTGCTTTAGCCATTTTTTCCCATAATAGATAATTCTTTCCATTAACAGCCAATAGTGGAAATAGAAGAGTATGAAAATGTTGGAATGGAGTGGTATAGTTAGAAACATAGTAGACATAGTTGAAGATGTTGAAGCACTCATTATAAATAAATCTGTGAACAAAAATACAAGATCAAGTAAAAAAGATTGAGTAAAATGCACCATGAAATATAAAGCCAAATAAAATGATGAAGTTGAAACTTAAAATCAAAAATGTTAAAAACTTAAGGAGATTTTTTTTTTTTTTTTTTTTTTTTTTTCAAAAAAATAAGGGTCTGCGATAGGCAAGGTGTGGCAGTGTGCGGCAATCGATGGTAGGATGCGGCACAGCACAGCACAGCACAGCACAACAATAGCACAATAGGAAGATAGGATGCAACACAATAGTAGGATAGGACACAATACAACAACAACACAGCAGCAACACAACACAGTAGCAGGATAGGGTGTAGCAGAGCAGCAAGATAGGGTGCAATATAAGAGCAACACAACACAGCAGCAACAGCAAGTTAGGAGGAAGAAAAAAATTAAAAAAAATAAAAAAATGAGGAGAAAGTGAAGAATAAAGTGCACATAAGTTTTTAAGAACCAAGACTGGTGCATAAGAACAATTGTGCTAATAATGTGTTGAGAATGTTTGGAGAGACATAAGAGTAGTTAGAAATAATATGTACAAAAACACGCACATAAGAGAGAGTATATTGATATGGTTATCTCACATATACAAAGAGAAGGAGAGAAAAACAGTTTCTCCCCACTACGTTCCAAACACCCACCACATTTAATGCTCTCAACACATACTACACAATTGTTCATTCCTAGTAATCTTTTTGTGCAACAGTAACCTGTTGCACAACAATTGCTTATCTTGCTCAGCTCATATAGTTCAGAGTCTACAAAGCGATCGACCATGCTGCCAAGACAGCGGCCGCTGTAACTGCTGCTGCTAAAGCAGCAACTGCTACTGCTAAAGCAGCAACTGCTACTGCATCAGACCTTACTGTTGTTGTGAACGAGGAAGCTAGCCTTGGTGGTGTTAGCGATATCATGTCATTGGGCAATCCATCATTTTTAGCTTTAAACATGAGACAACATTACATTAGTCGCAAGTTGATTCATTCCCTCAAAAATCCTTTTCCTGGTGTGAGGCACCGCTACAGAAAACCTGTGCGTAGCACTTAACAATTAATGCGCAACCTGCACTACTGTGATTGCATAATATAGACTGCTCGTGACTGCAGCAAGTAAATTTAATATATTTTGTATAAGTCATCCACATGATGTTGGCTCGTCAATATAAACGGTAACTCTGTTCAGAAATCAACTAAATACTGTGTCCAAAAGATTTGATGGCACTGAAAGAGTATGCAATTCACCTATGCACGTGTCTCCTCCAGGTGCTGCATTTCATCTCAATAAACTGCAACTTTGTGGTATATTTGATCACAACTTATATTTAAATGAATAACAAGAACGATGAAACAAAAAGGCCATGCCTCTCTCTTCTGGTAATCATGGCGAGTTCTACACATTTTATAACCATGGTTTCATAAACCTCAAAGCGAGCGAGGCGAAGAAGCCCCCTTGTCGATCAGGCCCTTGGAAGATACTTGACGTAACTCGAGAAGCGTCCACAAACAACTCATCCCGCTCTCGTTCCAACTGCTGTTGAAGACGTGGAGCTAGAGTAAAGAGATACACCTGAGCTTCCAAGTCTCTATCGCGGGATCTATACCCCAAATTGGAACTGCCGACCAAGGACACACTAGGCCCATCTTCTGCTCCAGGTAAGTTGCACCAGAGACCCTTTGCATGAAATGTCCACCCCGCCCTCTCGTACTCGTAAATCATTAATCCTTTGGGATTCCGTATGCTCATAATGTTCATTTCCTTGTCGTAAATAGACATCGCCCGGTTGTGGAGGTCCTGCTCAAGAAGTGAGTATGCAAGTGGTATCCAACCTGAGACTCCCGACGAGCCGTAAAAGCCATTTGCCTGTTGCCGGACGAAAGGGGTGAGTGAAAACATTTGCGAAGATGAAGAAGCTACTCTTTAAAAAGTAATGAACATCAACAGTGCCAGCATGTCTGAACATAGAATATGAAGATGCACGAGTTGTGGTACATGGATAAAGGCGAAGACGCTCATATTTTAAACCACATAATCTGTAATCTCTACGTCTTAAGAAGAAAAGTTCAACTAGACTTGCAGGCATCACTGCCTTCATTCCATCTTCATGTTGAGTAGAGAGGTAGATGTTTTAGATACATGAGCTTTGAATTAACAGAGTTTAACGGAGTCGGCAATTATGCACCTTTGGGGAGGAAGTAAGGACAGTAACGTTTTTCTCTAGAGCAGCTTTCAGTAATGCATCCTCGTATTCAGGTGTCAAATTGAAGTAGGGAGATGATAAATGTATGTCACTGCCTCCGGGGAGCTGCTTCAACAGCCACAATAAGGCTTCCTCATCTTGTCGGATTCCAAAAGGTCCCATTTGGACCGTTGGAAATACCCATGTATCAACTCCTTCCAGTGTCTCAGTTCTCAAGGATGGCATCGTCAACTCCTTCACTGCATCAGAAAACTCAGTAGCGAACAACTCGGACTCTGTGACGGGATTCAAATGGGCAAACCGTGGCTGAAGCTGCCCTGACTCATCCAAGTTGTACGAGTGCAACGCCACAGTATTGATCAAGGAGCATAAGTAAGATGCCAGGTTCTTGCAGTTCGGAAAACATAGATATCTGTCCTGGCGCACCGTGAAGTAAGAAGTGCTCATATTGGCTCCCGTCATGATAATGTTGTCGTCGAAGATGAAAGCTTTCAGGTGACATACGCCTAAAACTTCTTGAACCCGAACAGGAAGGACCATTTTCACCATTTTGGACAACATTGGGGTTTGGTACAATCCAATCCGCAGGGGCTCCTTTGGTCGATCCCTAGAGGTTGACTTTCGCCAAGCAACCCTATCTGACGAGAGGATGTTGGATAACATGGCAGCACTTGAAGGATACTTCTCGGACTCTTTGAAGGGTCGAGTTGTCCGTAAAGCATCGCAAAGTATAGTGACCTGCAGGGACGGTTTCCTGGCGAGCGAATCTGCAATGGCATCCAACTGCCGTTACTGACCTTAAGAGCTATTCTGTGCCTCCTCAGTATAGTTTACTTCAAAACTCAAACCATAAACTAGAGCAAAATAGTCCTTGATGATATTAAATAATGAAGTGCGAAAATGCAGTTGAACACTGGAGATAACTTAATTTTCAAACAAGCCAAATGTACTGCAAGAGCTCCAAAAAAATGATCTCGTTCAAGCTTCACACGATTGCTAGATTTGGGGTTCTGATGACAAAGTAAGCAAAGCTGTCCTATAACAAGAAGGCGGATAGTTTTGATGAACAACGAATATACAAATCGTAAACTCAATCCTAAAAATCAGACATGCAACGCAAGGACATGGCATGAGTAGCACAGAGAGCAAACCAGCTCTTGCTCGAGCGACCCTGTGCCGATGTAGAGCGAGGCAATTACAACACGGAATTGCGCGTCCCGCACTCCTTGAAGAAGCGCATTGTAAAATTGCGAGGGCGAACCCAGGATTTCAACGCCGTCACCTTTGATCGGAAACCCACGCGCATGGTTCATCATCCCACCCACGAGAGATTTCAACACTTCCGTCTCCGTCTCCTGCATAACCGATCCAGTGGTCGAGCCGGTTTCAAAATGCCTCACCGGCATCACCAGCGTTCCACTCAATTCGACGGCCGCGCTTCTCCATGTCCTCTGGCGATTACCAAGACGCGCGCCATACCGACCCAACGCTCTCTCGCACGCCCTCACCACCCCAATTGTCATCATCATTCTCTTCATCGTCCCAACAGTTTCCTATGCAAAAAAATCAGTAACATCACAAAAACATCAAGCAGCATTTTCCTGCTTCCAAATCCATCTCCTTCTCCATCTCCTTCTCCTGCATCCCAGACCCACCCACACACACACACCAGAGGAATCCCTCACCTCCAAACCATGTCGCAACAAATCCAGGACCCCTCCCTCCACCGCACTCAAGAGCCTGCCCACAATCAATCTCTCACTCTCACTCTCAGCAACCCACACACTAAATTGGGCCGAGAATGTAAATGGGGTCCGTGAACCTCCACCAGAAAAGAAGGAAAAGCAAAAGCAAGTGAGTTGCAGTAGCAGCTGCGCCTTCCTTGCCCGCGCTTTCTCCCTCCCTTCCTGTCGATTCCCATGCTCCCCGCGGCTATGGGATCCCTCGAACCCTACCCCCGCGCCCTGTGTTCCCATCTCCGCACCGCCCGTGTATCGATCATGTCCCGCCTCCTAAAACCGCTACACGCTCATAGGCCCTTGATTGATATCACGTGTCAATGTGCAAAATATGAATAACTTAAGGAAACTGCTGGGTGGACACCCCTTTTAGTGCGTGGATACCCCCATGCCACACACCTCCACATATTTTTAAAATTTGTAATCTACTATATATATATATATATATATATGCATATAAATCTTACACATAATATAATATAAATATAAATATAAATGTAGAGATAACTATATTTTAAAATATAAATTTTTATTTATCTGTAATTTTATGAATAAAAAAATTAATATTGCAAGAAATAGAAATGTGTGACATATTAGTTAGAGAAAAAGGGAAAAAAAAAAAAAAAAAAAAAAAAAAAATGTTTTTAGGTTTTGCCATTAAAAATAAGTAGACCAATATTTGTAGTTATGTAATTTAAGGAACTAATTACTTATAATTAATACATAAATACAATGAGTATAGAAAAAAAAAATTAAAAGTTAAAACTTCTTGAATTGTATTGTATAATTTTATTTTGGTTCTATTATATAAATATTTTTGTTTAAATGAGAATGGCTCTAATACATGTAAATATAATCAAATAAGCATCTTTTTAACTAGATTGTAAAATTAAATAATAGTAATATTAATTCATAGTTCTTTAATTTTTTTATATTTTTCCACTAGTATTCTACAAGAGATAAAAGTGTCAAAGTTGAAAGAATCAAACAAGAGTACATGAATGAATAAACATGTAATCAAAAAAATATAAAAATAATAAATAGCATCTTTTTTATTAAGAATTTGATAAGGTAAGATTATTGTACAAATCAACAAAAATAAAAGAGATTGGTAAATATTTCGATATATTTTATAACAAGGTTATTTTATGCAAAAAATAATTACGTAAATAAATCATGTTATATTGTGTCTACAAAATGATTACAACTAATGTAAAAATTAAAATTTTGTATTAATGAATAATGTAAGAATTATTTGTTTAAAATTTGTATAAGTAGGAACAAAAATATAAATATGTTATATCTTTTATTTATAAACTAAATGACAGAATAAATATTATTTAAAATTAGCATTCCAATCTATATTCTAATTTTTTTATACATATAAATATAAATATAAATATATCTAATTAAAATAGAGGTCTTGTTATCTTTAGTTGTTTCATTACTTCAAATCTAAGCCTTAGACCTTTGTCAAAATCTACATTCACTAGTTTGCTCCTCTACCCCTTCTTTTTGGATTTTTTTAGTTAATCCATTTTCAAAATTTCAAAATTTTAATCTTTTTTGTTTCATTTTTATTTTTTTTATTTAGAATAATTCTAATTATTTTTTATTCATTAAAAAATTTAGTAGTTTTAAATATACTTATTTTATTTTATATTAATTTATTTCTTTGCATGAAGTTGATTATTATAATCCTTCTCTATTACCTTTTATTATGAATAAAATAATCAATATATATATATATATATATATATATTTGAAATAATTCCAATTCATCTTTTTTTTATTTTAAGAGCCTAGAAGTTATAAGTTCAATAATTTAGTTATATCTTAATTTTAGAAAATATTAATCAAAGAACAAGTTAATTTTTTAAATTTGATAAATTTTTATTTTATTAATATTTAAAGAAAATTATCTTAAATTCTAACTTCTTCATGTTTTGATTAGTCTTTTAGTTTAGAAAAACTTATTAAGACTCTAAATTCTATTAAATTTTTGAAGACTTTATTTTTATGATTTTTAATGTTAAAAAAATTCTTGTGATTTACAATATTATTTGTCAAATAGAAATGGAATCTAGATGATAAGCCTACAACAATTCAAATAATTTGCATTAGATTGAATTGAATACAAAACATGTTAGTAATGTGCAAAGAAATATAAAAAGATATGTATAGTGTAATAGGATATAGATAAGATAATTGTATAGATAGTTTGAACCATAGAAGTTTCTAGAATTGGAGTTAAGTTAGTAGACTAGATAGGATCCACCATGGAACATTCTAAAAAGCATTTAAAGTAGTTATTTATGTAGAATCTACTATGGAACCTTCTAGAAAAGGCTAGGGGGGTTATTTAGGTGGAATCCACTATGGAACCTTCTAGAAAAGGCTAAGGTGGTTATTTAGGTGGAGTCCACTATGGAACCTTCTAAAAAAGGAATTTAAGGTTATCTAGGTGATGTCCATCACCTAGGAATATTCTAGAAAGTCCAAGGTGGTACGACAAGGCATAAATAGGACTAGCTAAGGTATTTTGGGGCATCTGGTAAAGTATGGCTTTGGATCCTTTCTCTTAGTAAAGTTTGGTTCTGCATCTTTCTGTTCAGATCTGTTCTGTTGTGATTCTATTTGCTTAGTTTTGTCTTTCATGTCCTATTTTGTTTGGTTTTGTTCAATTATGGTTTGGTCAGTTTTGTCCAATTTTGTCATGAGGCCTTATGTTATTGCGGATTGGAAGGATCTTGGGTTTTGAGATAGTCTAGTCTTATTTCATATAGATATTGTCTTTTGGATATACGACTAGAAATCATTGTATATATAAAGAAAGTTTTCAATGGGCAACAACTTTGGAATAATTATGATCTTTTATAATTTGAAGATAATAAAAGTGCATTAAAAGCTCCTTTTGATTGTCAAGAAGGATTTATAGAAATATTCTTTAGAATATGTTTTCAAATATCAAAAGATTTGGCAAAAAAGATTCATATGTATCTTCTATTTGTGTGAAAAGTGCAATGATTTTAGCTTGAGAAATAATAAGATAGAGTAGCAAGCATGTAGAGCATTAACTTCAAGAGGCAAGGAAGTAGAGAACTATCCAAGCACATTGACAAGCTTTGATACAAAAAGACCAATTTTTTTGTGATGGTTAGGAGCAAGATGATCCAAGTAGTTGTCACCTCTTCTTTACATTGCTTCACAATATACATCAGTTTCTTTACAATAGAAAGATAGATGGTAGAATGAATTGAATAATCTTCAAGAAAACCAATTGTAATGGATAATGAAAGAAAAGAATGTACAAGGATTGTGTTCGAGGAGCTTGCCACTTCATTGGAGATATGGTGCAAATTGGTGAAACAATGTACAATCCATTGTGTAGACCTGGAATATAGGTTATATAATTCCAACTCATTTAAATCTATAGTAGATTTAAAAAGAAGTCTAAATATGATAATTTTACAACCAAAAAATAAACATATACTTATAGAAGCTACCTATTACATTTTCATATTGTAATTAATTTCAAATACAAAACTATTTATTTATTTTTATTTTCACAAAGTAAAAAGGGATATTTTACAATTTTGAAAGTCTTATATCTCTTAAAGCATCAAAAATAGTAGGTAGGTCAACTTCAAATTTTATAAAGACAAAAAAAAAAAATCAAAAAATCAAAAAATCAAAGTTTATTTGTCTAAAAATTGAAAAACTTGTGGACCATTCTAATTACACCATTAGATTTGTAGACTCCAAAAATAGAGGAATAGGTCAAATAAAAAACTTACTAAATCTTATCTATTTGCAAAATCAATTCAAAAATTAAAATAGTCAAACTCTCAATATCTACAATTCTATATGTTTTTAGTGCAAATTAAACACATCTTCATAATTAGCAACCTCCAAATACACATATTGGTCTCTTTACGAAGAGGAAGTGTTTCATTTATAAGAAAACAAGAACAAAAACACTGGTAGGAGGAGCATATTTAGCCTGTCTTGAGGAACTAATCCATGAAGGAAATATGAATTGGTTATGTTCTGCAAGTGGTTATTGTGAAGTGGCCGCTAAGCTACCTTAAAACTCGGCAGCAAGAATCTCGTTGCACATGCGTCTTGAAGCAAGTGGGTTGCCTTAAAAAGCCATTGGGCAAGGAACAGAAAAGAGAGGAAAGGAGAGGAACCTGAGACATGCAAGAGAATTGGAACTAATTGTGAAGTTTATTCAAATAATGACAGTACAAGAGGGAGCATGTCCATACGCTTTCAGACGCAACGGCACATGCAATTTTTTCTTAAAAAAAGGAGTCATGGAGCTATTTTTGCAATATTGCAGAGCTTCCACAAGGCTGTGTTGCTACCTTCAAAACCTACATAATGTCACAATATGCACAGAAGAAGGAAATATCCCCTCTCAAGCTTTGAACAGAGTTCCGTATCTTCAAATTACAGCCCGCAACTTGAGAGCCAATTAGCCTCACAATCTTGACGATAAATCGACCTTCCTGTAGCGAGCCTCCCCCTTAACGATATGCAATGGCTCCAAAATGCCGCCATCAAAACCTTCAAGGATACTAAAACGTGCGGATACTTCGACGACGGTCAAGCCTCGGAGAGTTTCCACTTGACCCGTTATCCAAGGGTTCAATGCCTGCTTCCGCTTCGTCAAGATCTTCATACCTTGCATCCAGCTCCACATCGCAGAGCGCAAGCAGTCTGTCGGCCAGAGGAGGGATACCTGGATTCCTACCATCGTTGTAAAGATGGGCATTTTCAGCAATTTGCTGAACATCCTTCCGAAAATCTTCACGGCTTTTATACTTGAGCTTCCGAACCCTTTCACGGATTGTTGACAGGTCCATTGGGCGCTTTACAAAATGGAGGTAATCAGGAGCCTCTTTCTTGGGCACTGGCTTTAGAAACAAATAGGAACAATCCGCATTCTTCAAGTTCTCCACAACCGTTTCTAAAATGTTGCAGAGCTCGACCTATAAGCACTCCACCACAAAAACATGAGAACAATGGTAAGATTCCAATATTTCAATGAAAAAACAAAACAAAACAAAACAAACAAAAGATGTGTTGAAGCAGCATAGGTCCAACGCATGCATCCGAAAGCAACCATCTCACTGAGGAATAATAAACTACATTTTGCGGAAAAATGTCAAGACAACGTCCGTATGCATTTACACCAATACAAACAGGTTAATGCTTTAAAAACTGAGCAAATTGTGAAGATATGTAGGTGAATGATAAAACTAACCTCGCCTCCTTTCTTACGCAATCGCTTGGGAGCATTACCATGGTCTGGAATGTGATGGTATGGAGGTGGGGGTGCTTCATGCCGCCTCTTGAGCCCTTTAGAACGATGATCTGTCACTGGAAGACCAGGTGAAGGTACAGATATATTCCTTGTGCGCTCCTTCATATGCTTAGACTTCAGACTCTTCTCCCTGATCTTCACTTTATCACGCTGCTGCTGCAGTCGCTCTTCTTCTTTAATCTGCCTCTCTCTTTCTTCCTGTGCTTTCTGAGCTTGTAGCTCAACAGCTTCACGAGACTTAGCTTCCCGCTCTCGTTGTCGTCTTTCTTTTTCTTTCATATGCAGTCTGTGACGCTCTCGATCAATTTTTTCTTTTTCTCTCCGCTGCCTCTCTTCTCGCTCTGCTCTTTCCCTCTGTTCTTTTCGCTCGAGCTCTTCTTGTTCTCTTTTTAACTCCTCTTGCAATGCACGTTGATATTCCTCAGCTTCCTGTCTTTCCCTATCTCTCTCCATACGTTCCACCTGCTCCCGCTCTCTTTCTCTTCTTCTCATCAACTCAGCATCGTCCTTGGCGCGTACGATCTTCTTCTTCAATGGTTTGAACACCAGCTTATTCTCAACCTTATTACCTCGACTACTTTCAGCTCCATTAGTACGAGGCATAGTTGTTCGTCTTTTAAAATCCCTCTCCACTTTTTCCTCCCTTTCCCGCTCCCTCTCTTCTCTCTCTCTCTCCTCCCTCTCCGTTTCCTCATCCAAGGCTTTCTGATACTCTTCTCGTTCTTTCTTTTCCCTCTCATATTCTTCACGCTCCTTCTTCTCCTTTTCCCGTGTCCTCTCCCTTTCCTTCCTTGTCTCTGAGTCAAGGTCCGGCTTCAATCGCTTCAAACCCTGCCCTTTCTGCTTCTGGCTAGACAGCTTAAGCTTGATAACAGGAGGCCGTGCAGGTTGGCTGGACCCAGCGTCTCCTCCATCGTTAACATCGACTCCAGCCGATTTCTCAACTTTCTCCCGAGCAGGTTTCGATACAGAATGTGCAGGAGAATCATCAAGAATTTGATTGGCTCCTGAAATAAGCTTAATCTTCATCTTCAGGGAAGGGGTCTTAATTAAAGGTACAGGGGCAGGAATCTCTTTCTTTGGTAATGGAGTTCTGACCACAGGAGCCTGTGCCGATTTTGGAGATTCCAATTCGTCCACTTTCTTAGTAGGAATAGACTTTCTCTTGAAGGTGATCTTCGTTCCTTGACGTTCTAACGTGCCGTCGGCAGCTGCCCCTGAGTCTTGCCAAGCCACAGGCTCACCTTCTTCATTGTACAAAGGACATTTCTTGTTTGTGCGCATGTGACCAAGCTGCAACAATGAATTATGAAAGTAAGAGGTACACACAGAATCTTGTAGTCATAGCTAAGCGCTGATTGTTCAAATAATTATGTGTAGACATTATTTACACCTAGAAATCCTGCATATACAGGAAATATACCAGATTCAAGTACAAGTTAATTATATGCATAACTTCTGAATATGTAAAATATATGGCCGATTCAAAATAGAATTAGAGTATGTTCATTATATAAGTTTGATAGTTGGTGAATAAAGTCGAGATTAACCTGGGGGGCTAGCAAAAAAGGGAGGAGACACCCGGTCCCGACAAAAAAGGGAGGAGACAGACGGTTCTACACACATTAACTATAAGAACAGACTTAAACCATGCTGTGCTAGCAGTTTCTTGCCGAATCATATCACCAAAGCTCATCGTAAATTGTTTATAATATCATTGTCGATGCTCGTTTTCAACACGAGGAAATCTAGACGTAACTAAATTGACTGAAACATGAATTTATCCCATAACAAAATAACCATTCAATCAAACTAGACAGAAATTGCTATAATGAATTCCTTGTAACTTGGAAGTTTTAAACCCTTAAAATGAAGCATCATTTGGCATCAAGATACCAAACAGTCAATAAAGTTCAGTGTCCTACCTGACCACAGGCCCCACAAACCAGCGATAAAGCATCTCGCCCAAGTTTCCCATTTACCTTGACCTTAGCTGGCATCTGTCACACCAAAACCAGGATGCTAAGAAGCATTCTTTTCAACTGCTCACTCGGCCATAAGAACAGCAAAAGGTGTTACCAACCACCTAACAATAAAGCTCGGATAATGTGTGGTAATCTAAACATGAGGACCTGGAAGAGAGGAATATGATGACATCTCTCCTACTGGCTGACATGATACAAGGACAGCAGAGATTTGAGCCAATCCAATACATAATAAAATACGCTAGTAATCATTAATACACAAACCAATAAAATAAATAAATAAATAAACAAGCAAGGAAATTTAGAAATGTGGAACCTCGCACCCTTCGAGGAATGCCAATGAGATTTGCGAAGTTAACTTGATCTCCATGGAGCTAGTAGCGACTTGTTAATGTGAAGATCAGTCACAAAGCTCAATACACGCTCGAAAATTACCCATTCCTGATGCCGCAAACGCCTCCAACTTTTCGTAATCTAAAAAAATAGTGCTGGTATCGAACAAATTGACAGCAAGTGCAGATTGAGCATATTACCTCTTTTACAGGACCTCCGCTCCTCTTTATCTTTTTGTTAACCAAAGGCGGCTTTCCTGTGCCCTTACTTGCAGCACCATCTTTCTCAGTACCTCCTGCTTGGTTTGCCGCCTTGTTCGCATTCTTTTTCGCTAAGTAAATTGCTACCTTCAGTTACAGTACACATCACAGAAATTTAATTAAGTGTGCAAGAAAAAACATGCAAGCAAGTCCAAGATTTTATGTTTCTAAGGAAATAATTTGTTCAAGAATCAAAATATGCAAAAAAATATGGTAAGGAACAAAACCGAAAAAAACAAAAGAACGTAAGAAAGCAAGAAAGAAAGAAGAGCACAAGGTCTACAACAGGCTAAAGGCATACAATCACTAGTAAGGAAAGGTGTATCTACCTCTTTAGGGTCAGTGATGATAACTTCTTTCGAGGTATAAGTTCCATCTGGCTTCTTGGTACGAATAATACGTTTGATGATTTTCTTCTTCTTCTTGCCAGCTTGTCCTTCACCACCTACACCTATGAAATGTCATTTTACAAGTCTCACACTTAGATTGGAGGAAATAGTACATGCAACAATTACATTTAAATTACACTTAACACGTAACTGACGTCAGCCTCTCCGTTATCTCTGTCATCAAAGGTAGTACTGCTCCCGTAAAAAGATTAGAACATCAAAATAAATACCAAGGTGGGAAATAACCACTCTTTCAATGAAGCTCAGGTAATTCCAAATCATAAGGCAAGTTATTCATATCATATTCAAGAGATAAGCCAACCTGTTGCTTGACGCAAAATCTAAACATTACGAAATAGAAAATTAATTACACCTAAAGGAATCTTCTAAAGGAGACTTAAAACCCTAGGTGTACACTAAGATGTGCCTGCAGAGCGAATCTCACCTAAATCAGGAGGCGTTTCCACACTTTCCAGCTCCTTCTTTTTATCTTTGTTCACAAGAATATTTTTCTTCTTCTTTTGTTCCTCCTCGGCTTCGTCGTCTAAAAAACATTTTAGACGGTCACTAATTAAGGCCTTCACATAATCAAGATTCAACGCTTCCAAATAATTTTACATATTATATTCCACTGAGCCCTGACACAAATCGTCTCCTCCACCCTGCGCAAAAAATTTGAAGTTCTCAAAATGCATAATGAATACCTGCACGGAGCATTCTCCGGAGTTCGGCTGCTTCAGCCTCTTCATCTTCAATATCTTCTTCTTGTTGAGCTATCTGTTTGCGAAGCCGAGCCCCGAGACCTCCCATACCTTCTCGCTTTCCTTTCTTACCTCCAACTTCGTCTCCCTCCTCGGCCTCTAAAAGATTCTCTAAATCACCAGCAAAAGAATCGAGGTCTCCACCAGCTTCTCCATCACTTTCTGAATCATCACCGTCTGCAATCGAAAGACTTTGTGCTTGTCTATCCCAGATATCTTGACATTTCTCTCGAGTTTGTTGCTGAAGCTGAAGAAATGACATCCGCTGTCCTCGAGCAAATTTATTCAAAGTGGCCGCGCCAAGCTTCACACCTGTAGCAGCTTGTTCACTTGAAAGTTTTCGAACCATTGCAATTCGATGCCACCGAGTTAACTTGTCTATGACCTCTTCTGGGACCTTGAACTTTAAGAGTACCTGTGAAAGGCGATTTATAAATTTAGTAATTAATGAAAAGAAGCACCGTTAACAGCGGAAAACAAAGGAAACTTCAAGTTTCAGATGCAAGAAGCTCGAGTTTAAGTAAAGTCAGAACCTCTCGTGCAGCTTCCATACTAAGACGGCGAAGATCAGCGTCAGTGCCAGTAACAGCTCCCCCACCCCTTGCAGCTGCTGCTTTCTTCTCAACCAAAGCACCAGCGTTAGGAGGTTTGGTTGCCACACGTAGGTAGCTGAAGCCCAGTCCCCGGCCAGATGGATCACCAGCTCCCACAATCTCTAGACGCTCTAAGCTTCCCCTTCCCTGAAAGAGATGAACAGCACATCGATATCATTAACCAGCATATCGTGTTGACCAAAGAACTTGAAACTTCTCAGAACAGAAAAACACTCAAAACATAAACAGCCTAAGAACATATATGCTGAGATAGATAATGAATGATAGTACTGAAACAAATTCCAATTTGAAAGTTAGAAAATGGCTTAGCAGTTTAAATCATGATCTAAAAGCATCATGACACTAGATACCTTCAGCTATATAGAAAGCCATAAATACGTCGAAAATAATTAACATGACTGAACAAATCACCTGCATTGTAGCGGCAACAAAATTAGAACTCAAATTCCAGGGAGTGATTTGCAGTTCCCTCTCAATGTGTGAAGCAGCTGCTAGAGTTATAGCCTCATCTGGAAGCTGGTTCATGGCAGCAGATAACCCCGACGGTTGTGTTAATTTATGTACACCCATACGCTTCAGGTGATGAAGCCCAGCTTGCATGCTTTCGTATGTACACACCTGTAACAGAAGCACTCAATCACAAAGAGAAAACAGAACATAGAAAATCTTAACGACAGCCTGGAAGCTGCATGTAATTCTAGGGGATACGTATCCTTTGAAGGCCATAACATATACAAACTGTAATTCAAAACATATAAAGCATCAATCACGAATTGTAACATCCCCACACCAGAGCTCCCAACCAGCGAAACAGAAGTTCCTACATTACAGTCCATTCTCAGTCAAAACAGAAACCCTACATTCTCAGGTGTCACCAAACGTCTCATTTCTTCCTCAGAAGGAATCCTAAAATTTCGTCGCATTATCCAGCACATCTCCCCTCCAATTTTCTGATTAATTGTCACCAACAACAACGTGAACATCATGAATGTCAGCAAGGAACTATTTGGGAAAGAGCTGGGTTGCAGAAGCTAAGCAGATAACTCCCTGAAGATACACATCAGGTGTCGGAAGATAGCCGGCATCCCAATCTAGTGTTGAACGCGCTAACAATCATTAATCAACACTAATTGCCCCAAGACAATTAAAAAAGAGAGCTACCAACCTGAAGATCAGCACAATGCTTCAGCCGTTTCCTGATAAAGCCTTCAGTAAGCGAAGGGAATTGCGACGTTACATCATCGGCCCGTACGTGAGGTGTAATAACACCGGGCTTCTCCTTCTCACGGAATTCACGGTACAAATATACTAATAATCGGTTCCCTACGTAATTCTGCACTAACTTGGAAGTTGGAGTCAACACCTCCATGTGAGGCTCCTGGCACAAACAATAAATTATAAATGTCAGAGAAAAAAGGAACCATAATCACGTGGGTTAACTATTGGGAAGGTACTAATCAGCCCTAGCAGGAATCTTGTCGAACATTGAAATCCTTCGCATTATTTCCACCATTACTTAGTCACAGTGTACTCACGACGGTCTGAATTACGAATCCAAAGATGTTTGGCAAGTATGCAAGAAAACTAGAAAAATTAAGGTGGGAATGTGGAAGATACCTGCTGGCCAACAACATGGACGCTGTCAATCCGTCTAAGAGACAGTTTCCCCTTCGGGGAACGAACGAGCAGGAAATCAGTCGTAGCAACTTTATGGGGGAAAACAGGTGCCCTATACATGTTTGTCTCCAGGCTAGACTGTGTTTCACCAGGCCGAATGTCACCAAGAAACGGGGAATCTTCAGTTGGCTCTAGGGGTAGAGTAATGCCAACCCAAGGGCCCCGTTCAGCACGAAGGGTAGCGGCGGTAGCATCAGTCGGAGTTCGCTTTCGGTAATAAGTATAAAGCCGACTTCCCATCCCTACATTTCCAAGAACCAGGGGCCTTTCTTCACAATACCTACATTAGAGCAACAATTGAACCCACGGACAATTCAGACATCTACAACTTAATCCCACAAGACGACAAATAGTAAGTATGTGCCAAAATGTCACAAAGAATCACACACGTCGCTTTTGACAGAAAAAGGAGAAATTAACGTACTCCATTAGGGCAACATGACCATCCTTTACAGAAAGCTCGGACTTTTTCTTGAAGGCTCCTGGTGGTCGTAAGGGCTTGTTCTCACCCGGCAGGCGCTGCGCTTTCGGCCAAGGATAAATCTTGGTCCGTACTAAATGCAATACCGAATTTGGTGGTACTTGCTGTTGAGCAAAGGTGTAGCCATCTACCAACTCCTTCCCCGAATAAAAGATCTTCGTCTTTTCGGAAGGTTTCAGGTCTGTCAGAAATTAAATGAGATTAATGAGCTAACAATCAAAACTTATGAGAGTTGAACTTATACTAGTACAAAATCAGAAAAATAGGATAAAATTTTGTGCATATATGTGAATATATGTGAATATATATATATATATATATATATATATATATATATATATATATATATATTAATGAAATTTAACGGTATTCACCTCCCAGTTTCTTGGCAGCTTTTGCCTTGAGCACATCCAAGGTCTCCGAGGCATCAACAGTAAGCTTGCTTCCTTTACCACCTAGTGTTTTCACAATGACTTTCATAGGACCCTTCGCTGCAAGTTTTCCCTGTTCCTTGGCGGCAACCTCATTGTGATGAGGATACCATACTGCCTTCGGGCGATGAAAATTTGCCAGGTCCTTACTGCCAGGTGATAACACAGTAACAGTTAAAAACTCAGTCTACGACTCTCTATTTCAGTTTATCGAATAAGTGAAGTGAAGCGATGCATGGTAAAACGAAACACGTATTACTCTGCTTAATTTAAGCTTGCCAGTAAACTTAAATCAACAATAATTTAAACTGCCACGCATCTAAAGCCCTTCTATTAAAAGGTACCTCCTAGAATCTTTACAATCAACAACACGAAGCAGACACTAAAGCTGCAATTAATATATAATCCACAATCAAATAAATCAAAAATATTTTTGATTTATTTGCTGCAATTTTTAAAAACCTTCGGCTTCAACGAAAAAGCCAAAATTTTCATTTCCATGTCACATGTGGACATTGTAAGTACAGCGAATAAAACCACCATGGTCAGAAAAAAATAGGATGACTGAATTCACAGTTGGCCACCTACAAGTCAACAGAATTACTCTATCAAATGAAACCCAATCTTGACTATAAAGTAGAAAGAAGCACCAAAAATACATATGAGTTCACCAAGGTAAAACGTAGCTAAGAATAAGAAAAAGGACCCACTTGGATAACTTAGGCTTCATGCTTTGAAGCTTAATAGCTGGAAGTGAATGCATCACTTTGACTCCATGAATAGCCCGCTTCTTGGCATTTGATTTCTGCTGTTGATGAGTCTTCTTATTTGTGTAATATTTATCACAACTAATGTTGAACCTGGTCAGAGGCAAAGAAGCATTGGCCGTTCCTTCTGCACCATCAGAAGCCCCCTCTTTTCCTCGAGGAGTAAGCAAAACTGCAGCGGCATGAAGGCATATGGATTTGCCATCTTTAGACTCCGTTGTCTCAAAAACCATTTGTGGATCCATCAAATCAAAGATAACCTGCACCAAGAAAGAATTCACGGTTCACGTTATACCACATAAGAACCTACTATCAGATATACTTAGGAAATGTGTGCCACATTGCTGACAGCACAGTGTATTAACTAAGATAAGAGCACTAGAAACAGCTTATAGATGCCTCCGATCATCTAGCCAAATGACGATTAACCCAAAGCACACAACACTCCGAAATCAACAAGCACGATGTTATTGACAGAAGGCACCTTTGACCTTGGAAGACCAGGCTCTAGATCTCCCCAACAAATGTTACCGAGCCAATCTCCACGTGAAAGCTCCTGATTCTTCTCCTTCACTTCAAGAGTCAGGTTGCTGATATGCTTCAACAATTCAGCCCTTTCTTCGTCCTCGGGCTCTTTACGAAGGGACAAAGTCTCAAGTCTAAGCATTTGTGGATGTCTAGAGGTTTTCGCAGGGATAGTTAGTCCATCATCTTCTACATTGCTACTTATTTGACATAATGGCTCCACAATATAAGGCCTTTGACAGTCAGAGCAATCACTCAACTCTTCATGGCATTGTTTTGTTGCAGGAGGCTGGTGATCGGTCTCAGACACGCGACTCTCCTCACTCTCTGAATCAACCTCCACCAAGTGACAACGAGGACGTCTGGTAGCATCCAAGCTATCCCAAATGATATTATCTTCCCATTCTTCTAGATAAATAAGGTCAAAATTTGCATCAGGAATAAGTCTCCTGGATTCTGCGATATCGTCCTCGTACAAGTCGGCGTCTACTTTCATGGGTTCTGCGGGGGTAAACACGAACTTTTTCTGCTTAGTCCGATTTCGCCGGTTGTGTGAAAGGACGAACGCTGTCTGATAGCTATCTTCCTCTGGTCCACTTCCAACGTCAGAATCCTCTAAACTGCTCGCACTTTCGAAGTCCCCTTCCGCACTTGACGATTCAGCAGCAAGTAAAATTTGTTGCGAACACCTCTTCAGTACTGCCTCTTCATCATCTTCCATAGCTTCCAAATCCTCCTCAGGTCGTTCTCGTTTCTCTGTCCAATGGAGTCACAGGATCAGCTTCTCCATCCACTCAGATCGAGGCAAATTATCCTGTAAGTAACTTCAGAGTGTAAGGTAAGGCCAAAGTGGCCTAAATTCTCTATGCACATGTAGCACCTTATCTTCCATTGGTTAGAGATAAGAACTTTGCACTTGTATGACCAAATACGTTAGCTCCCGCTTCTACAGGGAATCTCCCAATAAATATCCTACGAAAACCGATACTGCAACCGAGATGATCACATGTAGCGTAATAAGCCTAACACAACACAGGTAGCTTTGAAGATGCGTACTTCTAGGTAATAATGTTCCTGAATTACATTTGCAAATGACAATCTACACAAAAAAAAAAAAAAAAAAAAAAAAAAAAAAAAAAAAAACCTTTGTAGAAATATGGTCAAATTATATTACATATTAAAAGTGGATTATTTTGTGGTCATAATATAGACCTGAATACTAGGAACTACGAAACTGACCTCTATTATGACCTCGTCTTTGCCGGCCTTTACGATGACCAATGACCCAATAAGGTTCTCGCACGCCAAAAAGCTCCGAGAACCTAAGCACAGTTTTTCCATCCTCTTGACAAAGGACAGGAAGAGAAATTTTCGCAGCCTCCTCTTCTTGGTCCTTTGAAGACGAGGTCGTTTCCTGCAAAAAATTTAATAAGGACGACAACCAGCGTAGAAGAAATAACTACTACGTCTATCAACACACAACACTAGAGAATAGCATCAAAATTAAAACCAACCATATTACTAATTTAAGACGTTACCTGTGATCCTAGAATATGGTCCCAGTCTTCTTTTTCATCTTCATCGTCAGAAACTATGGTGTCCACTGCACTGGTTCGACACTGTTCTTGTGCCATAGGAACTTCATCTTCCTCCTCCTGAGTCAGAGGTACCTCATCTTCCGTTTCTAAATCACCACAAATTGAAAAGAGTCAGAATGCAAACAAACGGAGACAAACTGAGCAACATATATTCAAATCTTCAGCCTTGGAAAAATATTCACCAGAACAGCGTAAGATATCAAAAGGCCATGATCAGTGAGATGGAACTCTCCTAAAAGTTGAGCAGAGGAACACCCGATACACGGCTTTCAGGCGGCAGAAACGAGTAACACATTCACTTCTCAAGCAGCGAAGTGGTATACATTGACAGTCTTAGGAACAGAAAATTAATTTCAAACAAAGACTCTTATGCAGGCCGTGAGACCCAAAAATATAAAATCTAAGAAAGGCCACGACTTTTTGCAGCATCACTCTCTCTACTGCATTGCCTTACCTTCTAAGTGTACTGAAACGCGAAAGGGACAACACAGTTTCCATGTAAAAGAAATGGTCCAACAATATACCTTCTCTTGAAGAAAGATCAGGAAGAGAAGGGAGGGAGTAAAGAAACGCATAAAGAAAGGAAAACAACAGAAACATTCGATATGTGAGAAGGTATTAACAGCTGCATGAATAGCCGCTTCAAGGTCGTCCCTATTTCTGCATAATCGTACGTACACATTACCGCCCCACACCTAGGATATGCTGACTAGTGAGCCCATATAAAAGTGCGTCTGAAGCGAGTTTCGTGTCATGCCTGAGGTATTCTTGACAGGTGACTCCAACTTAGCCCCAGCAAGCTGATCGGATTCAAAATCCTCGTCTTCTCCCTTCTCTTCCAAAGGTTGTTCAGATTCAGATTCCTCGTCCTCGTCATAATTATCTTCTTCGGCCAGCTTAGTGGGTCCAGCCAATGCAGCTTCAGCATAAAATCGTATATCCTGCGGAGCAAGTTGAACTTCGGGACCCTCGTACTGTTCCTGTATGTCTTCATAGTCCACTGCATCGTCTGCTTTCTGATCATAATCTGCAAAAGTAAATTTACGAATCAGCGGCATAATCCAAATATTCGAGAAGTAGGCGCTAAGGAACTACAGACCAGAAGAAAAATCGGATCTGCATCAAAACGACATCTCAAACTTCATGGACAAAGATGACGACCATTCCATCGGAAGATTCTAATAGTAGACTTATAAATGCAAATCTGAAATCTATTGAAGTTTGGAGTCCTTTGGAAGTGTAAAGTTTTAAAAAAAATAAAAATCGACCAATTGAAGTGTGGTGCGTCATGTAGGATTTGATAAGGATATCAACTTTGGAGACTTGAGCATGGAATAAAGTCCATCAACCGAAATTTTACAGTACAAAAGTTGATGTGTTCAAGAATGCACTTCCAACACAAACTATTCATGAACGAAGTGCAAATATCACAAGTAAAACTCCACTAATTGCAGTTCATCTGACGATACCTTCAAGTTCTTCACCCTCACTGACATCTGTCAGTTCTTTCCTCTTAGCATACAGTTGCTGCACAACCATCAAAATAAAAATGAATATCGATCGAAGAGGGATACAATACTGTGTGCTTCAATTGCAAGAATCCGCCAGCGTACGGAGTAAATAGGCATTTAGCCATACGAAGATTAAATACAATTATGAGTTAGTAGGAGTAAACTTCACTTAAAGGTGGTCAAATTAGAAAACACTTGTATAGAAAGATCACGTGAGACATGATTTCAGATAGCTACAACAGTCAGTAGATCATTTTCTTGAACAGAAATATACACCTCAAAACACTTACTTCGATATCAACCAATGATGGTCCCAACTGGTGTGCCAGTGCTGACAAATGTTCCTTTGCGTCCTGTCAAATTCCAGACAATAGTGATCAGAACCACCAATAACACAAAATCGATGTCAGGAAACGGAAGAACTTCTGTGACAATAAGTGGCCACTTTTTTCAGCTCAAAAACCTTCCGAGACCTTCCATAGTTGAAAATTGAACACCTGAACTGTATATGAAGGCTGTAGAGCAGTAAGCGGCTCTCGTACCCACTATTCTGGTATATAGTCATCATCAAGGGAATCATGTTTACAACATACTTGTCACTAAGAGCATCCTCCCCGGAAAAACATGATGTCCAACTAAGTCACAGGATACTCCGTACTAAATACTACAACTGTTACATCTTAAGGCATTTTAAAAACGCTGTAATAGCAGAATATGCGAAGAACAGAAACAGTGCCAGGGCATAACTTCAAATTTGGTAGCAACCTGATCGAGATACTCTTCGTCAAGGCCACCTGAGTCGTCCACATTGCCAAACATAAACCCCAGCATCTGTTGGCCCCTTCCCTCTCCCTCTCCGTCTCCATCTTCCTCCTCTTCCTCCTCATCGTAGCCCTTTCCACTGACTTCTTTATATATATCCCCCATAAGGCTCCCAAATTCAAGCCCTACAGTATCAATGGCAGTCATACAATGAGGTAAGGCTTCGTATCGAGCTCGAGTATCACTACACTCATGCACGATCGGTAACTCGATAATGCCTCACCAAATCCAAGGCAGAATCCAACGCGATGCGAATTAAAAATATGTTTATGCTTCCTCGTCTGCAAATTCGTTTATGTCAAGTCACGTAACCCAACTCCGATTATTGTTCAATGAATCTAGGTCTATGTTCCGAAGTGAGACATTCGGTGAAGAAGACACCAAGGAAATCAACCAGTATCGACGTCAAGATCGATTTAAGATGCCCGTTGCATTACCCGTTCAATTTAGACACGTTCTTCGAAACAGCCAGTTCCAATTTCTGCCGAGCCCTTCTCTCCACCACCTCATCACCATCAATGACCTCATGACGCCGACATCGAACACCTACAAAACGCTCTCCATCCACTAATTCCTAAGTCTGATCAAAACCTAACCCTAACTTCCTTCAAAACCACAAAATCCATAACCAAACCAAACTACTCGACCGTAAATTGCGCTATCAGCACCAAATGAAGTCTAAAACCTAACCAAAGGTTAACCAAACCTCAGCGAAACCCCCCGCCCCCTCGACGACGCTCCAATTTCCATGACATTTCTGCAAATCAACCCACCGCAAACTCGCCGACAATTTACGGCAACACTCGTATCAGCGATGGCGGGACTGGGAATCAAACTTGTTGTGTTGGACCCAGTTTCTGTAAAACCCCAAAAAAGCAATATCACCGTAGTTGCACTTGGAAGCTCCCTACGACACGGACTGTCGAAAACTACAACAAAACAACCATTAGAGGGTGGAGGGAAGATCCAGCTGCAAACCGAACCTCGAGCCCCGAGGGACTACTCGGATCTATTTATACCCGGGAATAGGGTAGGTGTTGCCTGCCTTGATACCCACGACATGCCTGTCAGTCAGGATGGATGAATCCTCCATCCATCTATCCCCTGGTAACTCAACTCCTCCTCCTCCGACTGCCGGTTCTCAGAACGTGTCTAAATTGAACGCGACGATCCTCTACTCGCTCCCTCTCTCGCTCTCTCGGGAAGGCGGCGGAGGTGCGTCTCTATAATTCCCAAGACAACAAAGGGATGCCTGTCCGGAGAGGCAATTTTGTGTGTGTTGGAGGGAGGAGATCCCACTGCACCAGAGTAAGTCAGTCAGCCCCCTTCCCTTCCCCCTTGCCCACTCTTCTCCCTTTTCTCCACCCCCTCTCCTCATTGTCATCCCTGATTTCGTGAGTTGTGTCACCTTGAGCTTTACAAAAAAATTAATAAATAAATAAAATCTAGGTTCCAGAGATTGCCTTTGAAATCGTTGAATGTGACAATTGACATGCATTCTGATGCCAGACCTGCATAGAACGAATTTTCAGTAAGTTAATGGAAATGTGACACAACATGCAGGTATCCACATGTATCTACAAATAGTTGTAATTTGATTCAATTAAGTGGGAGCCTGTACATGAGGATAAATAAGTACACTCATATCCATAATAAGTGTGTATCATACTATTTGTGAAGTGCATTGGGGATATGAATGCCCAATTTATAGTGTATTACAATAATTGAAAATATATACTAATAATATATTATTTTAAAGAGTGTGTTACATACTATTCAAATTCACACTTAGATATTGTATAGATCTTGCTATGAGAGTAGAAATTATAGGAGAGTGGTGTTGTATTCTTAACTAAAACTTATGAAAAGTCTCCTATGAAAAGTATTTGGGCAATAATGGCTTTTGTAAATTAGATTCTTATTTCATAGCAAATAGAATGAGCTTAATATAGCATTCGGTACTAAAAGCAAGAAAGAGAGAAAAAAATATTGTTATATAAATAAAAAAATTTATATACAACAAATCAAGTGTCAAAATCAATCATGAAGTATGCAATCTAAACCAAATATTAATCTACAAGCAAGACATTCTTAAGTGTCTTCTTTTCTCATTTTTCCTTTCTCCCATTTGATTATGAGCTCTTCTACTTAGTAAGGACAACAACACACATATAAATTGGACATGAATGCCATAATGTTATTGTTATAAAACTGTACACAACAAAGCCAATGTTGTAGCAACTAAATCACCAAAACATGTAGCAAACATATTAAAAAGACTTCTTACAACAATGAGAAATTTAATTTTTTGAACAAAGAATCAAAAAAAAGTGGTATCAAACATATCATATGCTTTCCATGTTGGCATTCATTACATCAAAGCATAGCATCTATGATTTTTTTCTCACCACATATAAGACAAAGAAAAATATTTATTATGTCTATTAATTTAAGATGTACAAAATCATTAATACAAAGGTGACAAGAAATATATTTTTTAAATATTCTTAATATTCTTTTCTATTCTTCCCTTCAAGAAATAAAATATCACTAAATAACATATCCTTGAAATAAAGAATTATATGCCTTCTTGTCAAGAATATGAATTTTAAAGAACTAAAAAATCAATAAATTTTTATATCACTCAAAAAGATTAGAAAATCACTCAAAGATAGAATAATATTAAACTAAAATGGCTATTTCTAAAGATAAGAAGACTAAAAAGTCTTGAAATAAGACTAAAGACTAAAAAGGCATTGATAAGAATGAAAAAAGCTTCATTTTTGTCTCCATATATACTATCTAACTAAGAGCTACATAGTAATGTCCTATATAACCTCTTTCATAAATCAAATTTGTAAGATATGTGTTTTAACTTGCAAGACAAGTTTCTAATATTTGTGCCATATTATTAGCATGTACCATAAGTTATCTACACGTGCAACACATGGTTAACTTGTTGGCCAAGTTTCTAACCTATCAATCAATTATAAATGTATATAAAGTCAAATATTTGTCTATGTAGCTTCTAAGAAGCTTTGTCATAAGATAATATTAAATCTACTTATATTTTCTTTCTATCTAATACTTATTATTTAGGTAAATATGTATGATCATAATATTATCTAATTTTCTAGAAATAAGTTTCACAAGGAGCAGTCATTATATGTTGAAGAAATCCAAGATGTTGCAAATTGTGTTTGTCACATACTCTAGGTTTTGTTCCTTTTGAAGGTAGTTGATAAGTCTTCTTAGCTATAAATAGTATTTTACAACATACTAAAATAACTCATCCTATTATTTGACTATTATTAAAATCTTTATAATTCCTTTCAAATAAAACATATAAAATACCATTAAAATTTATTTCTACCTCTAATAAAATTCTCCAAACATCAAAAGTCTCTTCAAAGATCATAATACCAAATATGTTGTATGTCATTAATATATCATTTTAGAGGATCTTCATCTCTATTACGTCATCTTAAAGATTATAATAATTATAATATCTCATCCAATAAGTCAACAAATGATAGTTCTTGAATTGAATCTATTGGTTCTTGGTTCTTTATTTCTTTAATGCTACAAATATATAAAAACTATAAATAAAAATAGAAGATAAAATTTTATTTTTTAAAATTTTATTTTTATTTATAATAAAGATTTATTATTCTTTATCTTGATTTTGATAGATGCCATTGATGAAAAACATCAACCTCCTTTACTACATTTATAAAGATTCTTTATAAGCTTCCAAGTATGTTCACTAATATCATATCAATACCAATGAATAAGAAATTCCAACCTATTTTGGTACCACCTTCAGTCTAAAACTTCTTCTAGCTCAAATTCTTCATTATGATCTACTTCTATAAAAAGAAGTGATATTTATCTTCTTCCCAAAATATTCACTATCTTATATGGTTCAAAAAGAAATATGTAGAATATGGATTGAATCTTTAAAGACTTTGGTAGATGCAATTAAGAAGCCATTAGATTGATTTTTTCATAAATAAAAAATGATTGAAACCTACAATAATTCAACTTTTCATAAAAGTGGCTAGTCTTAATATTGCCATGAAATAACCATACCTTATTGCTAACATAGACTTAAGGTTGCTCTTTGTAATAGGCATCCATGTTGGTTTTTTGTCATTCTTAAGTTTTTTTTAATTGTACCTTTCTTATTCTATATAGCTTAAATAAATAATTTATCAAGAATTTTGTTACAAAAATTATCAACTATTGTAAAGTTAAAAATATCAAGTCTTAAATAATAACCATAATTAATATATATATATATATATTACATAAAAAAATATAATATATTATTATTGTCAGGGATATGAATCTTAAAGAAAGAGAATCCTTGATAGATTCTTAAGTCACTGAAGAATACTAGAAAGTCACTCAAAAGGTAATGTAATATTAACTACAATGGCTATTACCAAAAACAAAAAGACTAGAAAGTCTTGAAAGAAGACTAAAGACTAGAATGACATTGACAAGAGTGAAGAAGGCTTCACTCTTGCCTCCATTTATACTCGTAACTACGAGCTATGTAGCGATATCATATAGGACCTCTAAATCATGTTGACTTTGTTAGCGACATGTGTTAACTTGCAAGGCAAGTTATCTATGTATGTGCGATATGGTTACCTTATTCTACAAGCTATTATATAGAATTAACTTGTTCTATAAGCTACCAACATATAATTAACTTGTTGACCAAATTTCTCACCTACAAACACATCTAAAGTCAAAATCGTATCTATGAAGCTTCTAGGAAGCTTCACTAAAAGACTTTATAAAATTAATTTATATTTACTTACTTCTACATAATCATATAAGTAATTATTGAAATAAATATATATGTTCATGATATTATCTACCCTTCTAGGGACAAGTTCCATGAAGAGCGATCTTCATACGTTGAAAAAGTGCAAAATGAGACTAATTGTATTTGCTAAATACTTCGATCTTTGCTCTCTTTGAAAATGATTGATAGGCCCTCTCAGCCATTAATAGTGTTGTATACCAGGGCGAGAAGACCACCTTGTTATTTAGTCATTGTTGAGGCCTTCGTACTTCCTTCAAATAAAATATTTGGAACAACATCAAGAGTTGTTCTTACCTCTAATAAAATCACCAAATAGCAAAAGTCTCTTCTAACATCATGATATCAAACACGTTATATCTCGCCATCTATTCAAGGAAAGACATGTCGTTCTTGAAGATCTTCATCTTGATTTCGTCATCTTGAAGGTTGTGACAATCGTAATGTCTTATTTGGTAAATCCGCAAATGAAAGCTTTTGAATTGAATCTCCTAGTTGTTGGTTCTCCATCTCCTTAGTATCACAAATATACACAAGTTATAAAGAAAGATAGAAGATAGAATGTTATCTTCATTTGATCTTGTTTCTTTTATAGCAAAGATTTGCTATTCTTCATCTTAGTTTTGATGGATTTTCTTGATGAAAAGCTTCAACTTTCTATGCTGCATTTGTAAGATTCTTTGGTGGCTCCCATGTGCATTCACTAATATCATATCCATGCCAATGAACAAGATATTTCAATCTATTTCAGCGCCACCTTGAATCTAAGACTTCTTTCACTTTGAACTTTTGATTGTTATCTACTTTTATAGGAGAAGGTGACATTTGTCTTCTTTCCAAAATATTTACTATCTTATATGGCTCAAGAAGAAACACATGAAATACACGATGGATCTTCATAGACTCTAGTAGATACAATTGATAAGCAACAAGATTGATTTGTTCACAAATAAAAAAAAGTCCTAGCCTACAATAGTCCAACCTGACACAAGGATGAATAGTCTTGATATTGCAACAAAGTAACCATACCTTATCACCTAGGTTGAATTGTAGTTGCTCCTTGCAATAGGCATCTATGTTTGTCTTTTGTCCTCTTTGAGCTTCATTTAATTGTATCTTCATTGTTGCATATAGCTCTCACAAATGATTTATTAAATC